GAGTATACTTTGGTAGGGGTACGGCTACAGGAGGGTTACGTGTCAACGGAAGCAGAATCAAGTACAACCTATCAAATAATTGAAGAGAGAGAGAGATGCCGAAATTATAATAGTTTAGCGGACCAATGACCAGCAACCGTTGACTTTGACGGGACAGAATACGTAGCAGAGGCTCGAGAGCTGCTAAACAACACAAATCCATAAAGTCGCGAAATTTAAGCCGATGGCAACCATAGTACGTGCAAATAACGAGTATGAATATGAGGAGCCCACATACACACGAGAACGATCAAAGAAAGGTGAAATCAAAATATAAAGTTTAAACATATTTCTACGTTTTGCAAGGGGTCGGAAAGTCAAGCATTCCTCTCCTACTAATCACTATGCTCAAAACGTCCCATGTAAACGAAATGGGTTGCAAAGCATTTAAATGAGAAGCTTACAGAGGGTACGCAACACAAGCCGTTGCACAAAGTGTACTTAACGCAAAGGCAAAGATGCGTCACACCAACCCGCGGGAGAATATTGACGTTACTTGGCGTCGTCTTTTAATCTTATTACCTCTAAACAATTGGCCACGGAAGTCTTCATTAGCCCAATGAGAAAGAGACTCAAGAAAGAAACGCTTATCTACAGTAGCTTGTTAAGAATGTACTTCAAAATAAGTAGTCTAGTTAAAGAACAAATCCGAGGATGCACAGTGAAATCCTGCGGTTACGCCGTTGAGATGGATTTTAGATGATGGAATATCGACTTGGATGACCATTCCTGACTGTCATCAGTCATAATCCGGCCGGAAGAACCTTTGACGGGTTAGTCGGTCACAAGGAAGATTAATTTTTATGCAGAAATTTCAAAATGGGAGACTAAATTAACAAACTACCTTGGTAAGGAAAATGCTTCAGGAAGCTTCACAGAGCTGCCGTCCGCATCAATGCTGCAAGGTAACAAATGAACAGCAGTTGATCCAGGCATTGCGCTCGACCTTGTAATGTCCGAATGTGCCTGTCAGTTTCGGCGTAGAAAGCCCGTTCTTGATAGATGATTCCGCCCTTCCTCGTTCGAAGCGTTTGATCAGATTACTGCAGAAAAACAGACGATTGCATATAAAATGCAAAAATGGGCGGAAGTCATGGATAAAGAAACGGTCTAATGTACCGAAGAAAAGGAAGAGGGCACGAGTTTGTTGTATTGACGCACAATGGTACCGTGCCTCCCGAAACTAGGAGAGCGTTATAGGCTGCCAATGCGGACAAAGGACCAACAACCGAACTGGAACAATGCGATCAACAATGGAAGCCAAAATGCTGCAGAAAACAGCCCTAGTCTGATTAGACGTTTCATAACCTCACACTCCTGCCATATTCGGCACAACTCTCAGTACTGTTGGCGATAAGAATATGGACGATGAACACCGTTGCCAATGACAGGAAATTCGGGACCAGCACAACTCCACAGACTTAGGAATTGGGTGTCTAAGACATTATATTAAAGTGGTGGATCGGGAGTATTCGCAAATGACAAAAGGGGACATTGCGGTGGTTCGTGGAGTTTACCAGGGAAACCGAGAGGTACGCTAGTTGGAATGCTAAGCTAAGATTCCAAAAGGGATGTTATCTATGTGTGACGATCGCGCCAAGCTCGCTGCTGAGTATGTGTTTGCGCGATTAGATAACCTTAAGACCCATCGTCTGAGATGGATGGAAAAACTAACGGACTGGTCAGCAACAGTTCGCAAGTGCGTAGTGAGTAATTAAACTCAAGCAGGAGTGATATCACAAGAGAAATCTACGGAAAGAAAGAGTCAAAACAATATGAAGACCTGTGGTAAACAAGGAGACAACAAAAAGTTGGGCGTTCCGATTAACCATGCAATAACGATTGACTGAAATCAAGTGCTTTTTGATAATAAAGTTAATCCATTCGATAAGCCCGTCTTCTGGATGGTAGTACGTGGTGTACGATTGCGAACGCATAGGTTACAGACCTCTCGGAAGGGGGTTTAGTTTTACTGCCTCAATCAGAATTGGGGTCGAGGAGACGCACCATCGACAAACTTATTCATGGATAATAACACAAACAATAGTACGGTTTCAACAAATTTTATTTAGGTAATCAGCCATCTTCAGGGCGTATATGTAATCCCATAGGGGGATTGGTTGGCGACAGACCAAATGCCGTGGGCTGACTTAATTTCATGGCATTCGGACAGAAGAGGCGCAATCACTGGAACAAGAACTTTGTTGCCCGTCGTTTAGGACTCGCTCAGTCCCATAATCAGAGGGAGTCACATACGGCTTACTACACTTGGTCGTGTCCATGAAATGTCTGCGCATATCGAAACCCGTTCGGAATAAGCCCTTCGCGCACAGCCATGTACTGGCTCTTTCTTTGTGGTTATAGATATCACCATAGGGTATTTTCAGTTGGTCCCTTGTCGAATAATCTAGC